GTCATTTCTCAGCTTTAGGAGACTTAAGATCCCAGGCGAGTACGCAGGATGTGGAATGAGTCTCCACCTTCTCTCCTGCCCGTAGCGGTTCACGATCTGATTTCTGTAACCTAGGACACATTGGGAAGATCCCAGAACCCGTACGTCTCAAATATTCAATAAACACTGTCACTCAAAGTCTGGGCCAAAGGTGACCAGCCTAAGAATTACCTGCAGCAGCTTATTTTAAATGCCTATTTCTGGGCTCTTCCCAGTCCTAATGAGCTGAATATCTCTGGGATACTGGAGCTTGCATTTTAAACAGATCCCCAAGGGACTCTTTCGTGTATGAAAATGTCAGAACGGCTACACTAGAGAAGAATTGTTGGCCCTTTTCTACATTTTAAAAACCTGCTGTTTGGTCTAAAGGGGACTTTATTAGGTTCTACCTATTAGAATGCTAGCCTTTCTTCGAGACAACTCAGATACGGTCTCTTCCGTGAAGCCTTCTCAGACTGCCTGTGCCCATGTTCTATCCCCAGCGCCCCTGGAGCGCTTGCCCTGCTGTAATGACGTTATCTGGAGATGGGCCTTATGGCCACGGCTAGTGTGTACAGTTCCTAGGGACAGTGACTTGCTAGAATTTTATTTTTCTACTTATCCACCATTGTCCCCAGTTCTAAACCTTGCCTACAGTGTTCCGTAAAAAATTAGTTGAATAAATGAATAACGTTTGATAAAGCTGATTTTGGGAATGAGCAAAGAGAACAACAGAGTGAGGGGATGAGAGTGCAGCAAGGAGGGAGGCAGGAAAGAAATTACAGAATTGTGACTGAGAAACGGAGACAGATCGCTATTGTGGAAGACAGGACTCCCTGGCATTAACGTCTCTCCGTGGTAACCGAGGGAGGCGAGGGAGCTCTGCTTCTTTCCATCAAACAGACATGCCCCTTCCTTTCTCTTTCCTTCTTTCCCCTCCCCCATTTCTCTTTCCAGCTTTTTTCGTCTGTTCTTTGTCTCCCTTACTTTTCCTTTTAGGTTTCTTTAATGCTCCTTCTATCATCCTACCATGGCTTAAGCCAGCCTGTCATTTGGTTGCCAAACATTCGTCAGGGTGTACTCTTGCCAGGCATTAGGCAAGGTGTGGGGACCCAAGGAAACAGGACACGGTCCCTGTCCTTGAGGAACTCACAGTCTAAGGGGAGGACGTGTATGCCCTAAGTACGGTCTTATGAAAATGGTGATGCTGGCATTGCTGAGGGTGCTATGAGAACACATTGGGGGGACCAGAGCATCAGGGGAGGCTTCCTGGTGGAGGTGGCCTCTGAACTGAGAGTTGGAAGACAGACAGGAGCCTGGTGATAATGGGGAAGTCAGGGAGAGGAGGCCTTCCAGCCTTGGAGAAGTTCGTACAAAAACTTAGAGATCAGAGAATTCTAGAGTTATTCAGGAAACTGCAAGTTATTCGGAAGAGTGGAGACAGGAGTTCAAAGGGACATGGGTCAATGTTGAGGCTGAGTTGTCACCAGGAGCCAGCTACGGAGGGCTATATGGGGCATGCTGAGGACTTGGAACCTTATTTGTGACCTTCTGTTTTCATCTGTACCTTTGAAAAAACCACTCTGGCTGCGATGGCGATAATGACTTGGAGGGGGCAGATCAGCAGGCGGCCCCCCAGGAGGGGTGGTCACGTGGACCTGGGCAGGTGATGAAAATGGAGTCAGGAGGCAGAGGACGGGAAGTCACGGGACTTGGTGTCTCATTGCTAGGTTCAGCATCAGAGGCCACCCTCGAAGCTTGGCAGGTGTATACAGTCTGGGCTCACCACTTGGAGCAAAGTAAATTCTAAGACCAAGACTTCCAAGATCAACTGAGCAGGTGGGAGTGGAATTTCCAATGACCGGGTGTATGTTGCCCCTGGCTGTCTAGTTCTTTCCCACTAAGGAGAAGCTCAGAAATGTGGGCTCAGAGGATGTTCCTGAGATGGTCCCGAGGCAGCTCCCAAGGAAGCGGGCCAACAGGTAGGCTAGTTTCTTGTGGGCGTCCAAGGTTCAGCAAATGCCAGGGCAATACCCAGTTCTCACCGACAGGTGGCAGCACCACAACTCACGGAAAGCAAAAATGAGAAACTTTCCAAAGACCAAAAACCGCAAACCCCAAGAACCCCACCCGAAAAGAGAGACTTGTTGGTGATTAATTTGTGCATTCTGGAGTAACTGATGTGCCAGTTTATTATTAGCAAGTTTTGCTAAAGTTACAACAGGTTTTCATACCAGCGTGACTTTCACCTCACAACTTGCCTCTTGCTCCAATTTCTTTTTGCTATTTAACATCAGCTACACACACAAAATCCTACTGCCTCTAGTGTGGTTTTTTTCCCTCTGCACAAAATTATCTTGGGCAACATTCTCTCGAGTTTCTGAATCTGTGTTTGTAGAAAATAATTTTTTAATCAGATAGAAAATGTAACAAATGTTGAAGGGGTTTTCTCCCCACGCACAATTGCTTTATTTCAACACAATTAGTATTTTTACTTCTAAATGTTCCCCTTCCAAATCTCAGAGTCTCTTTTATCAGTGCTGCATTTTAAAAGAAGTGCACAATTTTTTTCCCTGTTCTCTTAGATATCTAGTCTCTTCTGAGATCTCACCAACTTTCTTAACTTCGAATATCACATGACACAGAGACGCAGCTATGTCTTTCTCTCTTCAACCCCTATTATTTATTTATTTGTTTGTTTGTTCTTCCGTCCATCCATCCATTTATTCACTCTATGCCCTGTGCTCAGGGCTGGGGATACAATTGTGAAAAGGTGTGGTCTTGTTTGGATCCTGTAGAGTGGGGAGTCAACAATGCTGCAATGAGATTGGAGGTACTGTGGAAATTTGGAGAAAGAAACACTAAAACTGAGTTAGGGGGAGGCCTAAAGAAAGGGACAAAGGCCAACTGAGCCCAGGAAACTGCATGTGCAAAGATATGGACACTCAAGAGATCACGGTCCTTTCCGGAAACCAAAGTGGTTTAGTACTAGTGGAGTGTGCGTTGGCTAGAGACTGGGGGTGGCGGGGAAGGGTGTTGGCAGGCAGGGGCCAGATCTGTCAGAGTCTTGCAAAGGACTTGAGACGTTATCTTCCTGACGATAAATATGTCTCCTGGAACACTGTTTTCCTCTCAGCCTAACCAGGGTCCCAGCTTAAACCTTCCACTTCAGCCTTTCCTGATCCTGAACTAGGTCAGGTCTCCTGCTGCGTGCTCCCAAAGCTGGCAGTACTAGGAGTGTTCCATTCTCAGAGGTTCGTCTTCCCTAACTCTTCCCTCACTTCCTCCTCCTCTCTGCTCAGCAGCTAAGTCCTTTGCTTTCATTTTTATTTTTTTCTGGCCACCATTCTAGAACAAAGTATCATAGTGGGGGGAATATATGGGGTTTAGAACAAGAAAGACATAGGTTTAAATCTTGAGTCTACTATATTTGGGTTCCCCTGGGTAAGTTACTAATCTAAGCCTCAGTTTCCAGCTGTAAAATGGGGAATGGATCTACCCCATAGAAACACTCTGACTTTAGTACACATAGGGTGGTAAGTAAATGGTCCTCTTGTTATTTCAACCTCACATCAGACATTTCCTGCTCAAAAACCCTTAGAGGCCACTCATCTTGGCCTTCTCCCTCATCACTCCTTCCCCTAAATCCTCAGTTCTGGCCAATATGAAATATTGGCTGATTCTACCACACTTTCCTCCCTGCAGTTCAAACATCAAGTCCTCCACGATTACCAGAATACCAGGTAACTGGCTCCCTCCTCCACAGTGCTCATATGTAGTTCAACAACACAGTTTTTCCTTTCAGTCTAGGCAACTCTCCTTCGGATTACAAACTGCTGAAAGCAGAGGCTTTGTGAGGTTCATCTATTCCTCTGCATAGCTCCTTGCATGTAGTTGACACTCAACAAATACTTGGTGAAAGAAAATTCATTTTCCTTATTCCAATGGGCTTGTTTTCTCTATAAGATCAGATGTTTTGTTATTCTCACTTCAACTTGAAGCTATTTTGTTGGCTTTCCGAGAGCACATGACCGTTAGATGTGCTCTGCTTTCTCCTTTAATTGGAAAGAGATTTTGGAACTGAAAAATAGTTACCGGTACTTCTTCAAGCACCATCTCTGTCACTCCGCCTAGTACAGGAATCGAACTACTCAGTTTTACCCGGAACACGGCTCTCACACCTCCGTTCCTTTGTACCTGCTGCCTTTCCCTTTGCCTGCACCGTCCTCACCCCCGCTTCTCGGTCTAGCGAACTCCTCCTCATCCTCCAAGATTCAGTTCACACATCACCACATTACCGTCTCTAGGAAGGTTTTTTTGAGATAGGCAGAGTAGCGGCCACAAAACCTCCTCCCTTTCCTTTAGCTTCCTCAGCAATTTCCCCAAGAAATTCTAACAATACTTGTGGCATTATTTGTTTACTTTTCTTCCACTCCTCTAGACCGTGAATCCCTCGAGGGTTTGGATTTGTCCGTTTTTGTACTTTTTACAATATATCTAGCACAGTGCTTGGCATGTTATTAGGAACTTAATGAACAAACGAAATCTGTTACCGTAATTCATCTAACACAGCAGAGTTTGTTTGGACCAGAATCTCAAATATGCCAAGACCTGGTCCGCTATTTGGGGTGCTCCATGCTGGAGGGAGATTTCCCCCTTCTTCGCTCCTGCCGCTCCCCCCCCGCCCCGAGATTTCCCTCAACTGCCTTGGTTTGGTGGAAGGGGAAGGGAAGTGATTCGGCTGTGCATGAGACTTCCTCCTTCAGTACTGCGTTACAGCTTAACCGCTCTGGCACCGTCTGGGTTATGGCGACTCGGGGGCGGAGCCTTGCGGGTGCCACCTGCTGCGGGGCGGCCTGGCGCATGCGCCCTGGCGTGTAGACGGTCTACCTGCGGGGGCCTGGGGGGGGGAGGAGTAGCGCTTGCGCTCTGGGCCTTTTCCGCCGGGGGAAGTCTCGCGGGGGCGGGGCGGGGAAGTTCTCGCGGGACCCTGAAGGGGAGCGGAAGCGAGGCGGCTCTGCTGCTTCAGCGACCGGGCGGCGGCGGCGGCGGCGGCGGCGACGGCGACGAAGGTTGTGGCGGTGACAGCAGCGGGAATAGGCGGTGCCCTCCAGGAGCAGCAGCGGGGTCGGCAGCCACTCGCACTGCTGGAGAGGGGCCGACCCGGAGCGGAGTGGAACAGCTGCGCCACGGTGAGTGGCGCTGGCGGCGGCGGCGCTGCTCCGGTGCCTCTTTCTTCCCGGTCCGTAGCGGGAGTCGGCCTTCAGGGACCCGGCCCCAGCCTCCTGAGGGCCGCCGGGCGTGGGCGCGCGACGGCGGGGCTCCGGGCAGGAGCGGAGTCCCCAGGCTCCGGGCTCCACGTTTCCTCATTTGGGGCGCTTCCTTCCTGGGGACCGTCCTTTCCCGGCCCTTGGTTCGGGACAGAGCCCCGGACCCCAGCGCAAGAAGCCGGGGACTCTTAATTCAATTTCATGCCTTCTTCACGAGGGTTTGCGCAGGAGGAGCCCGGAAGAAGCCCGAGAGCGCGGGGCACTCATTCTGTGAGTCAGTCTGACTTGGCCCGGAGGCGGGGGATTCGCTGCGGGCTGCAGATGAGGTGATTGATGCTCCTTCGACCTGCACGGCCACCACGTCACCATCTCCTGGTGTCTTGGGGCCGAATTTTGGGAGGGAGCCCACCAATCCTGTAAATACTGTGAGTTCCAACATTGGCTGCCGGAGCCAGTCGAGGTGCCTTTACTTCTGTCTCCCCTCTCCCTGCCCTTCCCCCTTTTTTGAACTGCTGAAAGATGTTTGTCAAGAAAAAGCAGCAGCGGTTGGAATGTTCTGAGAACAGACTTCAGTGGGAGAGGAAAGGGAAGCACGGGTGGCGTTCATCTGCAGCGCTCTCCGTACGCGGCTGTGAGCCGTGTGAGTTACAGCTTGTTGGGGGAGTTGTTCTGGGCTGGCTTCGGTGCTGTAAATAAAGGACAGTCTGCGGAGCAGCTGAAGCGCGCTCGTTGGCCCGTGGGCACGGCTGGCTCCAGAAAAAGAGCTGAGAAGACAGGCGAGAGAAGTTAGCGTTCGTCCCTTTGGCTTCCTCGTCCCGTTTTCACTTTGTGCTTCTCCAGTTGTTGCCTTCCCTTTCCATCTGCTCTCTCCGTTCCTCTGCGGACACTCGCTGCTTGCTTGTGTAATGCAAGTCATTCGTGCCCCCTCCCCCCACCATTTTTTCTGATCTACTTCCCCTTCTTCTTTATTGTCCCCTCTCTGGCATAATTTTTCGACGTTCCTGCCCCTTGCGCAGTTCGTGTTCTCCCTCATATGAAAATTTCGTTTTCTCTCCCGGGAGGGTACCCGCTTTGCTGCTTTATCCTTCACTTTTTAAGCGTCCACTGGGTTCCTTCAGGCAGCCCGAAGGGTTGCTGGAGAGCCGTGCGAGGCTGAAGTCTCCCCCTGGGAACTGGGAGGCGCAAAGGATTGAATTCATCCGTAGGTAATCAATACTGCCGCTGGGTCCCAGGTGTAGCGTGCTTGCCTCATTTGTGTTTCTGTTGTTTCTTCGTTTTAAGACATGCTTTTGTCCCTCTTACGCTGTTCTACCCTTGTCTCTCTTATATTAGCGAGGAAGACTGGGTCAATCTGGGGCTGGTAGGACTTCTTTCTGGCTTTTAGTGGAGGTGGTTGAGGGTTAAGATACCAAAAAAGAAAGAGAGAGAAAGAAAGAAAGAAAACCAGCCAGAGACCTATATTGCAATTGAATTAACACAAGATGAAACACTTAAGGGAACAGAGTTTATTTAGATCTTTGACCAATTAAAGCTTGCCCATTGCGGTAATACTTTTTTTTTTGACCAGTCTTTAAAATTTTTAAATTTTATATTTAAAATTTTAAATTTATTTTAAAATTATAGTTGACATACAATATTATATTAGTTTTACGTGTTCTTTATCAGGCTTTTAACAATCACACATCTTTTCTTACATCGGTTAGAATCAGCCTTGTTGTCGTTGGGGCTTTTTTTGACAGAAAGAAAAACTTTATTTGTTCTGCTGCCCCTTCCCTTGTTCAAAATTTTCTGAATTCCAAAATTAAAAAAAGAATTTAATTCTTGTAATTAGCTTTCTTTGATACTAAAAGCAAGCATTTAAATGCTTGAGGCTGTTCACTTCCTCAGCAAGTGTATTCAGATGTGAGGGATTACTGGATTTTAAATACTACTAGTTGATGGCACTTAGAGGTTTTTCTCAGTAATTCCTGTTACCATGTTGCATATTGTGCAGAGGCAGCTGTAATTGTTAGCTAGAGCAAAAGAGTAACAGCTTTTGGAGAAATGCATTAATACAGAATAGAGACCCACCATGCTCTCCTGAGAGAAGTTTAATAGTTACTTGCTTAATTTATAACTTTGTCACTGCTGAATGACCGTTGAGAATCTTTGGTTTTCTTTGTGAAAGTCAGCTTTTTCCCAGTTGTGCCAAGTGAATATGCATGATTTTTATTTTATGCAAAGATGTTCTAGTGTATTATCTGGAATGTAAAGTTTAAAATCTGGTTCAGGCACCCTTACAGTACAGCAGTGATTCTTACAGCGTAGCATGGCTAAGAACCACCGGTGACTCTGACTTAAAATTAGGTTCTGGGCCCAAGGCCCAGAAGGCACCGCGCAGTGAACCAGTCTCCGAATGGGGTGGTTTCAGTGCAGCTGGTCCAGGGACCAAAACTGTTGTTACAGATACAGCCATAAAAAAAATGAGACTGGAGTGCATCTTAAAATTACTCAACTTAAAATTACCCTTTTCTGTGTTTTCAGAGTAAATATTTAAAAGCCTAATAGAATAAGTGACTGCAGATGTGATTAGTTTTTTATGTGTAAATATTTGAGCTTTGTTAGGACTGTGATATGGAGCAATTTAATTTTAAAGTTTATACTTAACAGGACTGTTAATTTGCCGACTAGAAAGTTTGTATGTAAATGGAAGTTCTAGATTTACTGTGAAAATATGTGGGCTGATTCCCAAGGGACTGGTGATGCGGCTTAACCACTCTTAGAGCTTTATGCCAGAGGCTCTGCTAAGGCCCTTACGGGTGCTGCCTCTGTTAACAGTCAAAACGGCCTTATGAGGTAGATGCTGTTATTAGTTGTTTTCCAGCTGAGGGTAGTAGGGATTATAGAATGGAACTTATTTCTCTGCTGTCACCCACACAGTAAGTGGTAAAGTGGCAGCTGAATCTGGATCCAACTCTAGAGCATCGGTAAGATTTTGGTTTTTGCTTTTTCTAACTACAAAAGTAGTAAATGCTTAGAGTAAAAAGGTAAAATGTAATTAAGGTATATAGAGTAGAAAGTAAAATACTCTGTGATCTCACTCCCAGAGATAACCATGGTGAACTCTTCAAATTTTTTTCTTTAGTCACACACTGATCTATATTATTTTGCTCTATAGAAATAACATAAACTGTCAGTTTTCTTCAGCTTTTTAAAATTAGTGATATGTCTTGGTCCTTACATAGAAAGATATTCCATAGATATGCTCATGAATATTGATCAGGTATACATACATTTTGTACATGGTATTTATGTCACTGTTTTAGTGAGAAATCTGGGAAGTAGGTAAGTTGTCAATAGATATTACAGAATTACTCTCAAAAAAGATTGAATTAATTCCCTGCTAATGTGTGGGCTCTGTGATGATTTTATTATTGGGTTAGCCAAAAAATCCGTTTAGTTTTTTCCATAAAATAAAAGACGCATTTTTTTATTTTCTCCAATAACTTTATGGATTCGGATATTTTGAGTATGTCGGCTGTTTCCTGCTATCGGCTTCCAGTGGGTAGAGGCCAGGGGTGCTGCTGAACATCTGCCAATGCATAAGACAGCCCCAGAGTAACGAACTATTTGGCCAAAGTGTCAATAGTACCAAGAAACTTCACAAACCACTTTTGACACATTTGATCAGTCAGAGCACCTTCTCCCATACACTGCACAAATCTTTTGTGTGTGTGTTTCAGTTGCATTTTTACCTTTCTTGAAATAATAAAGCATAATATGCCAAAAATGTTGCATATTTGCTTCCATCTTCCAATATTAAAATGACTGCATGAAAATTCACTGATTTTGAGAAATTTCCCTTTTTAAATGCATGCTGATATGACTGCGGTCACAACACAATTGAACAGAATTGTTCAGAATGAAGTTAAAGACAACTAAGCACTACTAAAGCCATTGTATGGCAAAACGTAATGGACTTTTGGCTAACCCAGTATTATGATCCAACAACTAAGCACATTGTCAGGTATATATTAGCTGCCCAAAATGTTATATGAATAAACATTGGATAGGATAAAGAGTCTGAGAGTCTTTTTACCCAGGGTATTACAGAGACTGAAAATTGCAAATATTTTAAAAATTTGCCAATTAGTGCATGAAAGAAATCTCATTGTTTTAATTTGCACATTTTTTAAGAGTGAAGTTGAACATCTTATGTTTTAGTAGAGTCGCATTTTACCTTATTTTGACTGACTTAACATCAGGTGCAGTCCAAAGTTCTTCATGTGTATTATCTATATTACCTAATTTAATGCTCAGGGAATCTTACAAAGTGGGTGATATCCCCATTTACAAGTGAGAGAATTTGAGCTTGTTTAAAAGGCTCGCCCCAAATTGTAGCTGGTCAGCATCAGGGTGATGACTTGACCCTGGATCAGCCTGCCTTTAGAGTCCGTGCAGACTTAACACTGAACTACACTGGCCCAGCAAGTGCCATGTCTTTTACTACCTATGAATTTTGGGAAGAGAGTTAAATGAAAGAAAGAAAATAAAATCCTACAAATACCTTTAGGAGATTGCATTTTAGGATGTAATACCTATTGCTTGAAATGAACAATTCCGGCTGCACTTTCCTTCTTAAAATTCACTGCCTGGGACGTGCTGCAGAGGTGTGTCTTGGGAACAGCTGAGACATGCTCATTAGGCCTCGGTGTTGAGTGTACTCTCAACCCATTTTCTTGGGAAATGAACAGCAACGTCTACTTTATTGAAATCATTACACATTGTGTTTACTTTCAGATTTCTTTCTTTGAGTAATTAGTGTTGCGTATGTGATAGATTCTTTTCCTGTCTATAATGAAACACACCCTTTTGAATTCCTGTAGCCTATGTGCTCTTATCGGTAGGTGGCCTAATAAACTGACGTGTACAGGTTTTCTGCATGAGATGCTCTTTGGCACAGGCACAAAAGTATTAATTGTTCCTGGTTTTTATTTCTATCCCATTATATGTCAAAAATGAGTAGTCTTTCTGAAACGTGATTTTCAAGCAGAAAAGCAAGTGTTGAAAAGTGTCTTGGTTTTTGTGCTATGGCTGTTCAGTTACACTGGGGTTGCCTGAGATCCTGAGTAACAGACATAAGCCCTGTTACTACACAGCACCTTGACAATGCACAGGGTTTCCCTCTGATTTCCAGTTTTCAAAATGAAATTGTTTAAATATGCTCAATTCTTCAGCTCCCCATTATTGATACAAAGTTTCAACAATCAGGCCTGGAGACTGGTTAAAATATGTGGTCAGGTCTGTGGAAAATATTGAAAGGCACATAGCACAGAGTTAGGAGCATTTGTAAACAATTAAATAGGTGCACACATTGGAAAGTAAGCAAAAAAGGAAAAGCAGTTATTAATGCTGGCAATAATTGGAGGATTGTACTAGGAAGGAAGGAGGGTTGGTTGTAATACATTATTTAAATCACCAGTGAACAATATTTTATGTTGTAATACTTCTACTTAAACAAGAATACATGGTATTAGTGGGATAGGGCAAGGGGAAACTGGCAAGGGTGGAACGGTTAGATCTCGTTCTTTCAGTTGCTAGATCATGGCTGGAAGAAACGGCAACAGAAGCATATTATCAAACTTATAAGTGAATAAAAAGAGAAAGCTAAAAACAACATTGAAGGTGATTGCTTATGGGTGTTGGGATAGGGAACTACTCCTCATAAACTTTTTAATACTCTGACTTTTAAAGTTATATACATGGATTAGTTTGATAAATAAACTACAGAGGGCATAAGTAAAGGATTTTTGAGGACACACAAAAATATAAATACTCTGAGACTAATCTTTGTATTTTTTAACTTTTGGTAGAACACTTAATTTTTCTCTCTTTGGGCCAGTGCCACATAGGGTACCCTAGGATGGCCGGACAGAATAAACATTGGTTTGGCTTACTAGTTTACCTGCAATAGAATGATTGGCTTTTAGAATTTGATTGGAGGGCTTTTTATTACTAGGTGATCTCTTTTCTCCTTGGTAATACTCATTCTCCTCTACTCTTAATGCTCTCAGCGGGGTCATCGCCTTGTCCACGTACAGCTATGCTTGATTAATGCTGCCCCACTTGTTAACTTTAGAGCAAAAGAATGATAGTCGCTCCTGTCCTTCAGATGAGTTCTCTGCTAGGTGGTAATTATCCAAGAAGAGTGTCACTATAAATAATCTGTCCCCATTCTGCCAGTGATTGTGGTGTTTGCCACTTTTATTCAGCCTCTGTGAAAACGGTGGCTGGTGAAACAAGAATGGAGCTTTATTTTCCGTTAGTTCTGCAAAGGTCTAGGTTATGTCTCATATTCAGGGCTGGAGACTCTACTGCGGCAGTGATTGTCTAGTTCCCCATCACCTGGTACACTACCAGGGGTTTATTACAGACTCTTAGCCTGGAAGATGCTATTTGGATCACTTCAGTTAGTGCTCCTCTGGCTCTGAGCACAGCAGCTGCTCTCAGGTAACTGAGAGAGACTTACGTTTCACTCTCAGGCACCATATCCCTGCACTTCTTTCCCAAGACTCAAGATCTGGCAGCTCAGAATCTGAAAAAGGAGTTATTCCCTTAAGTGTATTAGGATTTTGGCTTTGCTCCTTAGAAATAATGTGGAGGCTGCTTCTGGAATATTGAACCTTGGACATCTATTTCAAGGGCTGTTGGGGACCCCAAAGTCTTGGGGGTTTGCCAGAGAGAGGAGGCGTTTTGCAAGAGCAGCAAAAGATCTACCACCAAAAGGCTGAGCTGGACTTTCTTCTCTGGTGTCCTGTGCTCAAGCGGTAAATTGCATAAAAAAGTAGATACTGTGTTCACTTCTCCGGCTTTCCTAGGAGCAGACCAAGGATTAGTTTCTGAGAATTAGAAGCAGCTCAGGACCAAAACATGCATGGCTTGCTTTTGACTGAGGGTAGGGGACCCAGCATTTTCAGAAAAGCAGAAAGGTTGGCAGGGGGAAAGGAGAGAGGTAGGCCCATTTGAGGGAGGAAAGTAGGGTGCCACCCCCAGCGGGAGGCCTTCTTCAGTGGACTGACTGCATTTCGTGCCTAGAGGGGAGAGTGGAAGGGATGAGGGAGGAAAGGCGGAGACCGATCGGGACTCCAGCCGGTTCCTGCATACCTCGCACACCCAGCGGGAAGGAAGAGGAAGTGTGTTCTGGAATAGCTTGAGCAGCTGCCACCATTGGCCGGCGGGCCTGTCAGTTGCCTGAGCCTGAGGCTGAAAAGAGGAAGGAGATCAGGGCTCTTGCCTGGAAGGGAGGGAGGAGGGTTGAGCCAGCCGAGCCAGGGGGCGTGGGGGCTGGGACTACAGGCCGATTAGCAGGGCGGGGCTGCCTTCGATCCCGGCCACTTCTCTCAATCATCCTTCTTCTGATTCAGGGTGGCATTTTGCATCCCGGAGTGCAGGAGCCAGTCCCAGAAGAGAAGCAAGGCTGAGCCCAGAGCGCTGGGTCGCTTCAGCAGGGAAGACTCCCTTCCCCCTGCGTCGGGCTGCTGAGCACTGAGCAGCGCTCAGAATGGAAGCCATCGCCAAATATGACTTCAAAGCCACTGCAGACGACGAGCTGAGCTTCAAAAGGGGGGACATCCTCAAGGTAAGTGTTGATGCCAAGCAAATGCCGAAACAGCCTCTCCGTGCACTCACCTACCCTTTGCCCGGGTAACACACAAAGGAGCCACGCTCCTTTTCTCATCGCCCACTTTCAACAGTCACCATCGTGTGCGACCCGGACAGCTGAGACGGACGCTGAGTAGAATATTAACGATGACTTAAGAGGATGGTGTGTGATGTATGGGCTTTAATTGCCTTTGTGTGAATGCCTCGAGTATTTCTTTTTGCTTGTTGATCTGGGTCCTGTTTCAAGTCAAGTCAAAGCAGTATGACTGTAGTAAGGATGTGTGTATATGAGTAGGTTGATTTACCTTGGAGAGTTTTATTAAAAAATTAGAGGATGTTTTGAAAGACCTAAACTTGAAGTGTTTTTGTAAAAGTACTCAATTAGTCTTATTTTACATAGCCAAAAGTTATTTTTGCATTCTGGAACATTATCCTAGTTGGTTAGAAATTAATTTGCCCTAGTTTAGAGATGTAGTTAGGAATACGTGCCAAAACTCATTAAAGAAGTCAGTGTATTTTTATTCTTTTTGGAAAAACTAATGGAGTTCTAAATAATAAGGTTCAATCTGCTGTTGTACAAGTCAGATTTTTATTTTCTTAGAAGAAACCTGAGGAGCAATTACCCCATATTAAACTAGAATTGCACAAAAGAAACCTGCTGACAGTTTAAAAAAAAATAAGCTTCTTTACAGTTTGCAGCCCATTTTGAGCCCCAGTGTTTACATGAGTGTTCACTTTGCACAAAGCACATGTTAATTATGTTGTTTACCCAAATGACTGGAGCAGTTTGCCCTTTTGGATATGTAATTTATTTTTTACAAGGGTGGGTGTTATTGAATAGTGTCAACTCTAAATGGGGAAAACTTGAACTTCAGTGTTTGCCTTTTCCCCGTGTCTCAAGTTTTGACATTTCTCTGAGCCGTAGTCAGATTGCTGAGATTTGTCACCGTTTGTTGACTATCCCTGAATAAAATTATTAGAATTTTACAAAGAGCAAGAAAGTGGAAGTTTAGAACTATGGTCCTTTTTATTATTATTATTTTTAAAGGTTTTATTTATTTGTTTTTAGAATGTAATGAAGGGAGAAAGAGAGGAGAAAAAAACACTGAGAAACACCGATGGGCTGCCTCTCCCGTGCGCCCGAACCGAGCAGAACTCACAGCCCTCGGCTGGTGCCCTAACTGGGAATCCAGTGGAAGACCTTTTGCTTTGCAGGATGACTCCCAACTGAGCCACACCATTCAGAAACAGAATACTTTTTAAAAGGACTTTTTAAAAGGACTGCGTTTGCCCTGGTGGGTGGCTCAGTCGGTTGGAGCATCATCCAGGTTGCTGGTTTGATCACCAGTCCGGGCACGTACAGGAGTCAACCAATGAATGCCTATAAATAAATGGAATAACAAAATTCTGTGTGTGTGTGTGTGTGTGTGTGTCTGTCTGTCTGTCTGTCTATCTATGTGTCTATCCCCCCCTTCACTCTAAAAAAAGGAAAAGTTTTTTTTTTTTAAGTTATGCAGACCTATGGAGAGTTACTATTTTCCTCTCATTGCCAGAGGGCATAGAGTTCTCTGAAGTTACTGCACAGTAGTTTAATGTTAGATGTGTAGACTTTACTTCATAGAAGGTGATATTGAAGAACTCTTTAAGGAGAAGGAAACTATGTTCTATTCAAAGCTGGTACTGTGATGCTAAGCTTTTTGAGGGTATTATCAAAGTCAGCACTAACTTCCCAGAAAGCGAACAGAACCAGCTACAGGTTTTAGAGTGACAGGTCTTCTGGTTCTGTTTCATTAGAGCAAATGTAACTTAGACTGCTAACTTACTCTGTCATTGGTGTACAATGGAGGTAATTTGATGTTTTCATAAGTGATTACTGTTTTCAGCTGATAACCTACTAGTGATATCATAAGATTGGCTACTCAAGTACCCACGTTTGTAGCCTGTACAAAAACCCTTTGGGGCCAACTTTTTTGTTTTCTGGATTTTTTGTTTTTTTAAGTACAAATTGATTATTAAACTTACCCTAGAAACTTGAGCAAAGCCTGGTGGTTCCTGTTTCTCTCTAAGTTTATCCTGTTGCATATTTAGCACTAAAGCAACAAAGTAAAACAAAAATGAGGGATTTGAAGACTATTTTTTAAGAATTTTTAGATAAGAACTTTCCCTGTTCACTATTACTGAAGTTTTTCCTACACCATGAACATTTTATAAGTTCTCCAACTTAAATTAGTAACCTCTTGAAGAAGTGTAAAACCCTTCTTTCCCACCCTATAATTACAAAAGTTGATACTGTTTAACATTCATTCCCCCAGAAATTTACGTGATGGGAGAGAAAGAGAATCCTATTTACTTTCAGATTTTATTAGGGGAGAGAAAAATATATATATTTGGTTCTTTTCAAATTGGTAGATAACTGGCATATGAAGTCACAATGCCATTATTGCTTTTGAATGGTGGCCATTAGCCGTTTGTTAGTAATCTTGTGGCTTTACTCCAAAAAAAAAAAAAAAGTGACGATACAGTAGTTGCCCTTTGTCTCATAATTCTGTGAAGCCTCTGAGTAAAGGGGAGGGCCCTAAGGGACATTGCTCTGTGTTAAGTGTTGTTTAAAAAAAAAAGGCAGCGCTTTTCTTTATTTGATTATTCAAGGAGTAACTGGCTTCATTTGAGTGGCTTTGATTTGATTTGATCACTCTTTAGGATCTTAGCTGTGAGCCAGAACATATTTGGGACTGGCTGACATAGCACTGACCAGTTCAACTTGATTATATTAGCCTTCCCTTGATAATGGGGGCACAGACGTGGTAGTGTTAATACATTTTATTGGACTATAATGAAATCAGAAGGGGTTTCGTTCTCGACCTCTGACTTGAGTTCCGGAGTATGACATCCTCTCTCTGCCTTAGAGCCCTGGTTAACTTTCAGTCCATGTTGACGCCTGTCCTCCAGGAGACCACTGCTTACTTGCCATCTACACGTTGGCGTGTGCTGCTCGGGGAAAAGAGAAAAATGAAGACATTTTACTGGAAGCTTAAAATACAACTGAATGCTTCAGTATATCTGCCTTCATTACTTTTCTCTTATAAAAGCTTGTGTTTTTCTTAGGAAGGGCACTGGGCCATAGAAATGGGAGCAGCCGCTCTTATGTTGCAGGTTTCAGGCTTCACACAGCTGAGCTGAACCTAAATTTCCCCACCATTGTAGGGCAGGCTTAAGATAGTCCCAGGAGTTCGCCACTGAACAGGGCCCCTGAATGCTAGAGCACAGAAACGGCGGAGCTCACCTCAAGTTGCATCTGCCATTTAGAGGCTTAGTTACATGTACTTCCAACAGTGCTGTGTAGGGATTAAGAATTGTTCTGAGCTGTCAGGCATGTGCTCATTCCATTCTAGAGTTGGCTTCTTGTTTTCCACTAAGGCAGACATTTGACTCTGGAAGAGAGCCAGCAGTGGACCATCTAAGTATCTTCTACCCAGTCTGGCATTAACTACCTACACCGATTGCACAAGCTGCTTTAGAAGCAGGTCTTGGGTTCACACTCGGATTTTTGAAGTCTCCTACCTCAGTGCTGATGCCCCTGCTTCACTGTCCCATTTACCGAGCATCTGCTTGAGCCCGCTTGCCCTGGGATGAGCTGCTTCGCGGGTTAGGGAAGAAATAGAAGGTGCACTTTCTCCCTTCAGGCACTCTCAAACCAGATACGAGAAGTGAGATTAATGTCTGAAATAGTACATGGCAGTATGTAAATTAGGAATTTTAGAACAGGAAAAGACCTTTTAAGATTTATGAATTTAGATGTATTTTACAGATGAGGAAATGGTGGCCCATGGAGGTTAGATGATCTATGCAAGATCACAAATTTAGTGCTTAGTGGTGAACTTGTATTGAATGGGTTGCTGACGTTGTGTTGTACCCTGTAACTGCCAGAGTAATTGAGAAGAGAAGAAATTGGTAAGAGCTGAAGTCAGAGAAAGCCGTGAGGAAGAAGTGTCGCTGGAACCTGGAACCCGGACCCCGTGAGATGAAAAGGACGGGGCGGGGCGGGGGGGGCGGTGTACTTGGCTTTGAGACAGGGATGCTAGAGTAAGGGTATAGACTGTGAGTGAAAAAATGAGGTATTTAGAATTGGAGCCATGTAAGAAAAACTCAGTAAGAGTTCGATCTTGTCCTTTAGAAGCCTCTGCAGGTTTTTAGCAGACGACAGGTGTCCCGTGTGTAGGATGGGCCGCAGGGAGACAAGCCTGGAGGCCCGGCCTGGAAGGCTGCGGCGGCCTGGCCGCGGGGGCTGTAGGGCCTGCGCGGGCGCCAGAGACAGGAATGAAGGACAGGTGCGGTGTGAGAGACTGAAAGGAAGAACTGTGGGATTTCTGTCTGTCAGCTGGGGACATTTGAAAAAGTCTTCTGTGTACGTGAGAAAAATGTCCACTGAGGATGATTCTGAGAACTAGGATTTGATTTACAGTTTTCACAACAGCTGGGTTTTGGTACATGCGTCCATTTCAGGTGTTTAAATAGCAAACCTAAAAAGATGTAGAGGTTGGAGTAGTTTGTTTCTTTCTTTCCTTCTTCCTTCCTTCCTTCCTGTTTTAAAGTCCTAATAGCAGTATGCATTTCTTTGCCTATTGATAAGGATTCTTACAATCTTGGTGACCAAACCCAAAATATTGTCTTTACTCTTCTGAGAACGAGGACTGTTCGAGTTCTTTTATAGCAGATAATTCGTTCACCTTTCATTATATTCACGTACCCTCCTGTCATCTGGATGGACCGTTTCCAAATAGGTACTAAGAATAACTGAACTTTAAGTTCCTATATGACTCCTTTTGGGAGGCTGGCTGAAGACCAGTCATTCCTGTTTGGAGAAACAAATGAGTGAGGAAATGAAATGTTCCTTTAGGGGCTTTCAAGTTGCACCTCTGAGCCATGATAGTTGAAGTCATTGTTGAATAGCTACCATTTATGGAGCATTTACTGTAT